TTTTCAAATGTTTTTTGAAAATGCTCTTTGGATGCAGTAGAATTTATGTTTTTTTCCGGAAATAAAACCTTGGAATGAAATCGATGGACTCATGAGCTCTGGCATCACAAGTTAATCTCTTCGAATATTCCTTCTGGAAATGAATTTAAAAAAAAATTTAGAGTAATTTTGTATTTGATTTTTTCAGCAAATAAGAAATGCAATTGTTCAACTGGCTCCAATTCGTCATGATGTTAGCTGTTGTGCTTCAACTTGCTATGGGCGATTACATCTCTGTAGAAGAGCTGCCACGAAAATCTGTCGCCGAATTAGCACGCATATTCCGATCGTTAGTTTTTTTGCTCTGTTGGTTATTTACTGACTTGTTTACTGCTGCTTAAAGCGACGTGAAAGGAGATATACAACCCTGAATCTTAGGGGAATACAGCTATAAGTCCCATAGTACTTGAAATCTTGGTTAATGGAAATTCTAGTTGCAACCCAATTCTCAAATGATCTGCCCTTTTTCTGATTTAGGTGAACTTTGAGATGCGCCATGCGATCAACATTCACCTGGTTCCGTAAGGGCATTCCATTGGGAATTTAATTGGAGGATTACGGGTGGTGGGGTAAGGGATCAAAGGACTAACTGGCATAGGAGGAATTTCCTGGTGATAGATGCTTTAATAGGGCCATTTCTCGCTATTCCGTCTCAGATAGTATTTGATTTTACATAGTTTATTGCCTCATGTGAAGCGCAGCGAGGGAGGGAGATGATAGGAAGGGATAGCGCCTAGTGGTCTCCCATATGTGATCAGGGTAATCCAGGAAGCCGGGATCGTAACCTGCCCGTAGCAACCGAGCCTCTCATCTTTCTCCATAAGTGGGTGAATTGGTAACAAACTCTCTGGGAAGATGAAAAGTTTGACTCGAATAGCGTTAGGCCCTTATAACTCATCAGATAGATCCAATACGCATGCGAATGCCCCAAATATACTGAATGGAATCCAGTGTGGGGCCCATATGCAAAGAGGATTCGCCACTTTTTGGAAGTCCCTCCTTCATCTCCTTATTGACGATTCGAAAACCCGATCGACACATTTCGAATCACAAATACTTTTACAGAAATCCAGAGGCTATGGCACGATTCCAAGAACTATTTGGTGACGGAATGAACGGAGATGTTGCCCGTTTGTCAAATCTGCAACGACTTGGTTGATGATCATATCCTTCCCATGTCTCTTTCTACAATGTCCATCAATGGCTATCATATCTAACCATTGTGTATCATTGAAATATAGACATTTTACTCTCAAGTACCATCATCATATTGTTAATAAATTAAATCGTTTAGAAGCGATGTTTTAACATACCAAAGAAAAACCGGGTAACTATGTGAATGAATGAATGGAGGGTTTCGCGGATCCCTCGGTTTTCCGATATTTCAGAGCCATGAAAGTTGGGTGTGGTGCGATTCACGCGTCAATATAATGAGGTCANAAAAATTTGAAGTTATTCTTATTTTGAACGTTTGTTAAGTAAATTGTTGACATATGAGGTGAATTTCCAACCTTGAAGGGGCTTCATTGCCATAATAGTGAGATGCTCTCATTCATGGTGAAGCCATGGACTACTGCAAATTTATTTGGTCCATCTCAACAGAAAGGTACTGAAACGATGCTGCGTGCGCGAAGAGCTCTCATGGGGTCACGCTTGTATCGCGCGCCCCAAATGAAAGTTGTGTGTCGTTAAATCAGAACACGACTACATGTAAACCTGCTTTCTCGTGGGTGGTTCCGAATTCGGACGTGCTGTTTTTCAAGTTCAATATTGCCCTGCCCCATGTTTATTTTAGCGATTTCATAGGGCAATAAGTTGACCAAAGCAATCGAAAACTTGCAGTAAATGCACGTTAATGAAGTAGAAAAAGCATAGCTTATCGAAAATCGTTAAAAAAGTACAGTGGCAATTCCAAAGTATTAGAATGTCCGTTTTACTACGGCTCTTTTTTCATGCGGACGAGTTTATTGTCGTTGTTTTGAGCGGTGGAGCGCGCTTGCCACTTTGACCAAGCATCGGAAATTCCTCTTTTGCGTCTGTGCCCTCTCCGTAAGACATGTGCTCTAATCCACTCTAAACTATAGTTTCAGATAGGGATGTAGAGGAGACACAACTGACAAGTTCCGAGACAGTTAGCTAACAATATTTGACAGAAGAACATCCGCACCATCTTGAAGACTCTAAGGAAACCGACAACATGGCGTCATTCAGAGTGGGAATTGTAGCATAATTACTCAAAGTGCAAACGTAGGAGTCCACCCAACGGCATACAAATTCTTTTTGAGGCGCCGTATCCTTTGATTCCATCATTATCTGAGATTCATTTGAATGGGCAATTAGCCGATACAACTGGACGTTGTGATAGGTTTTTAAGACGGCTATTCTGCTATAGAAGCCTTTCCCTGATTCATTATACATTCAGCTAGATGGCAATATCGAAGGATGCCTTAAAAAGTTCAAAAAGAAGCATTATCAACGCTGTAATCGATTTCTATGAAAGGTGGCTTCGACATGAGGATGGGTGAAAGAACTACTGGTACATGGTTTGCCTCCATATAGGGAAAGCCAAGGAGGGATAGGAGAGTAGGAGGGGGAAGAGAAGCTCACGTAGTAGAAACCAAGTCCGGATCCGCTCCTATATCATTAAACGCGCGAATTGGGACAGGAGTTTTTATACTAGGTGAATGCACGCGGTCGTCTCGCCATCAATCGTCTCGCTGGAGATTCGCTGGAGACGTCATCACCCACTAGGGAGACGATGATTGAGAACCGCCCAATTAGTGTAAATACAAATACAACGGCATATTTAGGGCTCCCCTTCTTCCCTAAATTGGAATTTCCGACAAGATTAAAATTATTCCTTCTAGGATTAGCAAATTAGGACTTTGGTGGCTAGAAAGCACAAACAAGGCTCCGGGTTCCGTTTTCTCGGTAATAATTGGTTTGGTTTGGTCAGAGACGTTAAAATATCCCGAACCCCGCTGCAATCGACAATTTCGACATATCCCTTCTATCACGTGCTCCCAACTAATAATCCCAGATTTGGGACACAGCCGAAACAGGTGGTACATATGATCAACCGAAACGGATTAATGGGAAAGTTTCAAAGATTTAGGACCAGTTACCGCTTATCGACCCAGTCCGATGAAGCAGAATCCATAGCACAGAACAAAATGTATCAATGCCAGTCACTAATGGGGCCAATTCCCACAAAAAGTCGAAAAAATGGAGTCTGAGATTGGCAGCACCGAAGATGACGTTACAAAGTCATTTTAGATTCATGAATTACCAATTTCTCTGAATCAAAGGTTTGCAAGCGATATGGGAACCTGCTGTGGGTGTGAAGGGATAAACACTTGACTTCGAACCGTCCCTGAATTCCAAATCAATTCCAACTCGAGTCTTGAAAGCGATTTCGATTAGTTGAGGACCTGATACTTGTAATTCGATTATGCAGTAAAATAAGCCTGTCAGGAAAACATTTTCTTCGACTAACTGGAACAGCAAGTGTAATCGACCCAGGAGTCCTCCTATAAAAGGATAAAGATAGAGGATAAAGTCTTTGGGCGTAGATAAGTCCCGTATGCTGGGATGCGCCCCGCATTCGACTCTTATTCAGAATCGTAGTGACGTATGAATGCGTATGTGGCCTA